CATCTTACCTGTCTGCCAACAACGGGGGTTTCCAAGGCAGACAAGTAAGAAAAAATAGTTTTATTTTCGCAGAGATGGAAATTGTATACCTTTATACTCCACCAAACCTAACAACCCAAGAAATACCTTTTGACAGCTGTCACATTTATTGGACTAGGCATTTCAACTGCAAAATCGGTACCAATAATATTCGATTCTTAAGAGAAATAGATATCGATTATTTAGAGTTGGTAATCATTTACAGTTTTATCTAGATTAATACCAGAATAAATTAGAAACAGATAACATAAAACACAAACTATTACAGAGTTTTCATATTTATTGCTTACAGATATCATTATCATCATTACAGCCCTTCACAAGTCCACTGCTGAACATAGGCCTCCCCCAAAGAATGCCACAAAGCACGGTCCTGAGCCACCTGCATCCATCGACTTCCTGCATATCTTACCAGGTCGTCACTCCATCTAGTGGGGGGACGCCCTACACTTCGCCTGCCGGTACGAGGCTGCCACTCGAGAACCTTTCTTCCCCATCGGTTGTCGGTTCTTCGAGCTATATGGCCGGCCCATTGCCACTTCAGCTTACTAATCCGTTGGGCTATGTCGGTCACTCTAGTTCTACTGCGGATATCCTCATTTCTGAGTTTATCACGCAGAGAAACTCCGAGCATAGCCCTCTCCATAGCTCGCTGAGCGACCTTGAGCTTCCTCATCCGGCCAGCAGTGAAGGACCACGTCTCAGTTCCATATGTCATCACTGGCAACACGCACTGGGTGTACAGTCTGCTTACAGATAAAGTAATATAAATTTAGACTGCAGTACACCACCAATTTATTTAATCACTTTTACTATAACAAGGTGAGCTGTCGTCGTCATCATCGTTGTTAACATTTATTATTATTTGACTTTCTATGATGCAATAAAAATTTTTTTTTCTTAGTCGTCAATAACAATTTTCTTTGTTTTCTCCATCACTGGCCCAGTTATCTCTTGTATTTTCTACAAATCCTCCTCAGGCAGATCCCACATGGTAAATTATTATGAGGCACTTTATCGTTTCCTGCGGGCACGCGTCATCTGTCGATGCCTGCGGCACAGTGTGGATGGTGTTTATCCATATTTCATCAATGAATATAATATTGTCCGAATTGGTTATATGTATTTTTAATTTCTCGTAAAAATCTGCTTTTTAAATTAAACTGCATTTATGTCTCTAAATAATTATTTTGCGTTTGTCATTTTTTTTGTATCGGAAGCCAATTCCTTTTCAAATGTTTTTCAATGTCTCTATACTTCTATATGTATACCCCACTGCTACCATTGTACAAGGTATTTTCTAAGCTTACTTGCAAACTTTGCCATAGTGGGATTTATTTATTTATTTATTCTTTATTGCATTCCTTAATCTAAAAGAATAAGACGGGCGGATTTTATGCCTTCAAACAAAATAAAAATGATAATTAATTACGTTACATACACATTTTACTAATATATACAATAATTAACTGTAAAATATCTCCTATTTATACATGTATACAAATATATACATACATACATAAGCATACATACCTAGTCAGGTCATAAGTATTGTCACACAGTATAAACTTTTCTTTTAGAATGCTGGCCACAAAATGTTTATTGAATTCGAATTTCGAATTGTTCATGAAAATAAAACTGTATACTTTTTAGAATTTTACTCATTTTTAAATATGGAGTGGACGCTTAAAGAAGATCGTGTTGCAGTTATTGCGTTGCATCGTTGCGGTTACGCGCCAATTAAAATTTTTGACATACTGAAAAATTTGAATATAACCAAAAGATTCGTTTATCGTACCATCAAACGATACAATGAAGACTGTAGTGTAGATGACAGGTCAAGAAGTGGTCGCCCTCGGTATGTTAGGATTCCAGCAGTGATAAAAGCTGTGAAGGGGCGAATTCAAAGAAATCCCAAACGTAAGCAGAAACTGTTGGCCCTTCAGATGGGGTTAAGCAGAACCACGGTGAAAAGGGTGTTAAATGAAGACTTGAGGCTTTGGGCATATCGAAGAAAAACAGGACATCGTTTGAATGCTCGTCCAATGGACCTGAAACTGAAGAGATGCCGCGCTTTGTTGTACGCGGGAAAAAATATCGGGAAATTCTTTTTTCGGATGAAAAAAATTTTACCGTAGAAGAGAGCTACAACAAACAAAATTATAAGGTGTACGCACACAGTAGTGAAGAAGCGAGCAACCGTATTCCGCGTGTCCAACGAGGTCATTTTCCATCCTCGCTCATGGTATGGTTGGGAGTTTCTTATAGGGGCTTAACAGAGGTACATTTTTGTGAGAAAGGTGTAAAAACGAATGCAGTTGTGTATCAAAATACAGTCCTGACGAACCTTGTGGAACCTGTTTCTCATACCATGTTCAATAACAGGTACTGGGTATTCCAACAAGATTCGGCGCCAGCTCATAGAGCGTAGAGCACACAAGACTGGCTGGCGGCACGTGAAATCGACTTCATCCGGCAAGAAGACTGGCCCTCCTCCAGTCCAGATTTGAATCCGTTAGATTACAAGATATGGCAACACTTGGAGGAAAAGGCGTGCTCAAAGCCTCATCCCAATTTGGAGTCACTCAAGACATCCTTGATTAAGGCAGCCGCCGATATTGACATGAACCTCGTTCGTGCTGCGATAGACGACTGGCCGCGCAGATTGAAGGCCTGTATTCAAAATCAAGGAGGTCATTTTGAATAAATTTTACGAGTAGTGTCATAAGAATCTATGTTTTGTTAAGTTCATTTTGGTGTATAAATGGTTACATAATGAATAAACTTGTTTCAATTATTTTATATTAAAGATGTGACAGAATTTATGAACTGACTAGGTATATTCATATCAACAAACATATACAAATAGTACATATAAATAACTATGAATATATACGCCTAAAATATAAATGACATGGATGATTCATGTAAGAAGCGTTGTCTTTAATAGATGATTACGCACCAACTTATTAAAAGCAAACTTATTGGGAGCTTTTCTGATGTCATCAGGTAAGGAGTTCCAAAGGCGTGTAGCCTGAACTGTAAAGGAGTTACCATAGAACTCGGTGAAGTGAACTGAAATACATATTTTGTTGTTAGAAGAAGAACGTATCCTATCATGAGATGAGGAGAGATAGTGAAAGAACAATGGCAGACTTTCATACATAAAATTAGTTGAGCAGGAATGTTAGCGTCTATATATAAAAAAATATCTTAAAATGTTAAGCGTCAGTCCCTTAATAACTCTGTCAAAGAATTTTCTCCTAAGAAGGCGTCAAAAAAAAGATATTTAGATTTGAACCTGTTTAAGTTATGTTTTATGTCACTTGGAAAAAGTGAGGCGTCCTGTGGTTGTTTGATGTTAGGTTAATACATTCTCAACACAATGTACCTACCTACATAATTGAGAGTTTTTAGATTATTGTATCTCTATTACATATTTGCATACTATAAATGTATATTTCTGGCATGGCTCCAAGGCCTTTGTGTCATACAGTGACATTCTCAGAAGGGCTAGAACCCAGAGCCGTAAAGCAAGAAAAAAAAACAGTGAGATTTTTTAGCTAGTGTTGCCATAACATTAAATGAAATTGTTACATAACACTATGATTGAGATAATGTATTATTGTAGGAAGTTCTTTGTAAGAGAGTTGTTTTCAACCATATCACTTTTATTTTTATTATTACTGATAGTATAGTTTTTGCTAATAATAACTTAATATAAAAATATTTGTGTTTGTGTGTTGTGTTGGTAGTCTTACAATGTGCATACAAAAATAGTATGAATATAGTAAATGGCAACACTCGAATAGAGTAAAATGATTAAAGTCATCAATATTCCCAAAAATGTTTTTTTTTTGAAAAATCATAGAAAAATAATAAAACTTATTTCATATATAACCTATTTCTAGACGCAATAATTTTTGTTAACTATTATTCTACCACTGTTCTTTACTCTCGAGATAAGAAGGCGAAAATGGGTCATTTAATATGAAAAAAAGAACACGTAATATACTGGAAATACGCCTCTGCCGGATTGTAAGCCAATTAAGCTTAGATCTATATTGCGAAATATGGTCATACTTACGAAGCCCGAAAATAAATCTTATACAGTTGTGGCGCGACGACAGCGCGTCATTAACACGTCGGGGTCACCACTGTGGCGGTGGAAGGAAAAGTGGAGATCTCCCGCCGGGCAAGGTGTTCTGCCCGGGGAGCGGCCAACGCACCGAGTGGTAGTTCGGAGCTATTGTATATATATTGCCTTAACTTCGGAACTTTGTTAGTGCGATTTAGGCTTCGATGTGTTTCGCTTGTGGCGCGACAACAGCGCTGTCACACAGTTATTGAGAAGTCGTTCCAGCTTGTTCAGAAGAGCGTGGGATAGATCCGGGTAACACACATCTGCATAATCAATTATGGGTAATATGAGCGATTGGACAAGCATGATCTTAGACTTTTTGGGGAGAAAATGTTTTAAACGATAGACAGAACGTAACGTGGCAGTGATTTTACGACTCACTTCAGTATCCTGAGTTCTCCAATTCAGTGTGCTGTCAATGAGTAGACCAAGAGTTTTTACAGACTTACTGAACGGTATTGTAATCCTTGGCATTTCGAAGGATTGACAAATACTCCATAACGACTAGACCAATATGTGATAGCTGATAAGTTGTCATTCAATTTTTAATCCAATTATTGATATCCCCAATTTCAGCTTACACGTATAGCTGAAGATCATCGGCATACAGATGGTACGAGCAATCAAAGATGGAGGTAATAAAGTATAAGTAAAATAAGTAAAGTAAGTAAAATAAGTAAGTAAAGTTTCGCGGTCAGTTGCCGCGCAAAGTAGACACGTTCACTGCAGTTAACGCGTAAAGCTTTATTATCAACTAGTGCGTTACGTTCAAAATTGTGCTCCTAAAAATAGATCTTTAAAATTGCTTATCTAAATAACCATGCTGTGTGCAATCTGCCAAGAAACGATTAATGATTGTGTATCGTGCTATGGTTGTAAAAACCATCTCTGCTACGGCTGCGCTGGCTTGGAAGAAAAAAGCTATCGTAGACTCAATCAAGACAAAAAATCTGCATGGAGGTGTGCTCATTGCAAGAATACAAAAAACGAAACATCGATCAACGAAGTCATATTGAAAGAGATCCGCGACATTAAAAGTAGGGTTAACTCTATACCGGAATTGTTGGAAGATGTCAAGACCATCAAGTGCGAACTGGAGGAACTAAAAGACGCTTGTAATGAAAACAACAAGCGATTGGACGAGTTTGACACCACAATTGCAACAATGGAGGAAAACGTATCAGAGATCAATCATATCAAGGACAAGCTTGCCATAACGCGCGTTGATTTTGATCGCATCCACCATTAAATCTTACTTAAGAAGCAGTGGTCTCGGCTAAACAATATCGAGATCAAGGGTGTGCCTATTAAAACCGGTGAGAACCTATTCCAGATTCATGAAGCCCTCTGCAAACTCATCGGTTTCGACGTCCCCAAATCCCAAATAGATTACATCGTCCGAGTTCCCTTGCATAACTCGAAAGACAAATTGATAATTGTTCGATATATAAATCGATACATAAAAGAAGATTACATTGCAATAGCTCGCGCTAAGAAGTAATTATATGCTAAGGAAATAGGATTCATAGGAAGCAAGAACCGCATCTTTGTAAACGACCACCTAACACCGCACTTTAAATCATTGCTGACAAAGGTGAAGGCCCTCGCTAAGGAGAAAAACTACAGCTATGTGTGGGTGAAGTTCGGCAAAATTCATGTGCGCAAAAATGATACCAGTCATAGTTTTATTATACAAAAAGAAAGTGATTTAAACAAAATGGCCTAATCAACTTTAAATCCTTATTTTTATATAACTTAATTCTATTGGCATTATTAGCTATTGTATTTTGCTATGACATAAATTTACTACGAAACTCTTATCTACGCGCCTTACCTATTGTGCTAATGTTTGCTCGGACTCGCACTTGCCAAATCGGTTATTTGTGCCGCTTATCATCGATCCCGTCGACCGCTTATTGTTTACTTTATACCTGCATATTTATTTGTTTTATTTTCTTACTTGCTCGCACTATCTCGCCTATTAAACATTGCTTAATCATTTATATATCTTTTTTACATATACTTACTTTGAACTCCGTACCTATAAATGTTCCATGCTTCTGCCATAACTTTGTGCTTTATATTAAGATTCATTCTTCATCTGAAAAATGGATAACGTAACTAAAAATAGTCTAAGCATTTATTATCAAAATGTCCGCGGGCTTCGTTCGAAAACAACGGTATTTTTCCGTAATTTATGCATGAGCACTTACGACATTATAATCCTCACGGAAACGTGGCTATTTGATGGAATTTTCGACTCAGAATTATTCAATGATAGATATATTGTGTGGAAGCATGATCGCGATTATAGTTTGACCCCTCAAACACGAGGAGGCGGTATATTGATAGCTATACATAAATGGCTCGCCTGCACATTACAACCAACATATTTTTCTGCCGCTGAAGACTTATGGGTGACGTTAACATTACACAATAATAAACCACATACCAAAACAAATTTGCATGTATGTGTGCTATACCTATGTAATCAAAATACTGGTAATAGTTTCTCTGTGCAACTAAAAAAAATTTTAACTAACCTAGAATGATTTATTTTTTCAACATATCCTGATGATAGGTTTTTAGTGGCAGGCGACTTCAACTTAAGTGCTATATCATGGCTTCCCAATGGTGATCATTTTGTACCAACGGGAAATAAAACATTTGACGAAAATTTACTAGTTTACGAACTAAATCTTTTGGGTCTAAGTCAATATAACGGCGTTGTGAACGCACATGGTAAAATTTTAGACTTAGTCCTGTCAAACTTTACTCAGGTAGTCTCCAGCTGTTGTGACCCTCTTGTTCCCATTGACATCTACACCACGGGGCACTCCTAATTGAATCTCATCTTCTTGATTTCATACCACTAAGGCCTGCCCCTCGCGATAGGTTTCTGTACAATAAAGGCGACTATACATCAATCAATGCTGAGCTGCTCAAAATCGATTGGGCTAGCGAATTTCATTCAAGAACGCTAGATGAATGCGTCGATTATTTCTACTCAACTTTCCATATTTTGAGAGATAAATTTATTCCATCCAAAACTATTGTTAAACATCATTACCCACGTTGGTACTCTCTAGCGTTAATTAAGGTGATCAAGGAACAATATAAATATCATAAAAAATTTAAAATTTACAATAATCGCAGTGATTATGAGTCTATGAAATTACTTCGAGTTAGGGAGAAAGCCTTAGAGAGTAAATGTTACACTGACTACCTAGCATCTGTTGAAAACTCTATTACCAAGAACCTTAAAAACTTCTGGAGTTTCACAAAATCACGCTCGAATTCAAACGTTATGCCTAGTACTCTTTTTTATAACCATAAAGTAGTCAAAACTGGCAACAGCATTTGTGAAGCGTTCTCAGATTACTTTAGTTCTAACTTCTTGGATGATACTAGTACACAGCCCACCTCTGATCCTGCCCATACTGACTATCCACCTTCTATTGCGGATATCTCCAAAATCTACGTCAGTGAACAAACTGTCCTCAATCTCTTGCTCAAACTTGACCAATGTAAATCTGCTGGTCCAGATCACCTGCCGGCCGTATTTTTAATAAATTGCGCAAGGTCACTAGTAACGCCTGTAACTCTCCTATTTAATAAGTCTCTAGCAGAATGTACTGTTCCTGCTATCTGGAAATCGGCCTTCATCACTCCAATACACAAAAAGGGCTCTAGAGATCAGGTTAATAACTACAGGCCTATTTCCAAGTTATGCATACTAAGTAAAGCCCTCGAAAAAATAGTGTACTCTCAATTATATTTAGCTATTAGACAATCACTTCACGACTTTCAGCATGGTTTCCTCCCCGGTAGATCTACCGTCACGAACCTTGCTTTACTCAATGACTTTCTTACTGATTCAATGGATAAAGGCCATCAAATTGATGTCATCTATACTGATTACAGTAAGGCCTTCGACCGGATTAACCATAGTCGCCTCCTATACAAGCTTAAATGTGTCGGCATAAGCGGAGACTTACTTCGCTGGCTTTCCTCGTATATTGAGAACAGAACACAAGCTGTAGTGGTAAATAATTACATATCTAGCTGGATTAAAATCCCTAGTGGTGTTCCCCAGGGCTCGCTACTGGCACTTTTACTCTTTGCTATTTTTGTTAATGATATCAACAACTGTCTGTGTAACTCTCGTCTATTATGTTTCGCAGATGACATGAAAATTTTTTCAAATATTTCTTCATTAAAGACGCAGAAGCATTACAAAATGACTTGAGAAACTTACTTGATTATTGTACCTATAACCATCTCGATCTCAATCCTACGAAATGCTCAGTTGTTACATTTAGCCGTAAACACAATAAATTGCTGTACGATTACCATATTCGAGGCCAATCGTTGTCCAGAGATTATTTCGTACGCGACTTGGGAGTTATACACGACTCGACACTTCTGTTCCATAAACACATCGAAAATATAATTGGCCGGTCTACCAGAGCCTTAGGGTTTGTGATACGTTGCTCTAAAAACTTTAAACAAATTAAAATATTGAAAATTTTGTATTGTTGTTACGTAAGAAGTATTTTGGAATATGCATCACAGATATGGAACCCTCAATATAAAACCTATATATCTCGAATTGAACGTATCCAGATGAAATTCATTAAACACCTTTGCTACCGAGTAAATGACCACTACAACTCTAACCGCTACTATGATAAGTGTAGAAAGTTCCACCTCTTACCATTCGAGATGCGAAGGCAAATAGCAGATATTACCTTTCTACTTAAGATAGCTTCAAGCGAGATCGACCGTCCAGATCTACTTGAGAAGTTAAATATCAAAATTCCAAAAAATGTTAGACGAAAGGTCCCACTATCACTACCCGCAACAAAGACTAATTATAGGCAGAATATTTATATGTACCGTGCAAGCATGAATTTTAATACTGTATCCCAATTGTTTAATTTAGACCAATTCAACACAAGTATCATTTCGGCGAGACGAGTTCTGAGTAAGCCATTTTTCGATTCTAGCTGATGATCCTTTTTACTTCTTTTTATTTTTATTTTTATTTTATTTTGTTTTTTATATTTTTTTTTTGCTATTGTTGATCTGTAATGTTTAGTTACTTAATGCACGATGTTACTTAGCTAAGCTTACGGTTGGTGCGACAGTGTCCTGTTAGCTGTAACTCACCGCATGCAATTATTTATATAGTGCCACTATTTGCGAAAACCCATAAATGGTTTCCTATTGCTTAATTGTTTTCTACCTACTCTGTTTTTTGTTAACCGAGGGATTTCCGATTAAATAAATAAATAAATAAATAAATAGAAAAATAGAAAAAATTATAGGACAAAGAATACCGCCTTGTGGCACATCAGCTTCCACATCAGCCCAAGCTGAGGTTATTGGCCTCACACAGACTGACTGCTATCGACCGCGAAGATAATATGCAAACCATTCCACTACTGTACGGCCAAAACTTAGATGAGACAGTATGGAAACAAGGATTTCATGATCAACTGTGTTGAAAGCATTTGAGTAATCAACTAGTACCAGTACTGTTACTTTTTTTCTTCCATACCTTGTCTAATATCGTCTGTGACGTTAATTAAATCAGTACTGGTACTATGACCAGGGCGAAACCCAGACTGATATATACTCAGTAGGTTATGTTTCGAAATAAATGTAGAAATTTGCTTGTAAACACAGGATTCTAAAATTTTGGAAAGAAAGGGTAAAATGGATATAGGGCGAAAATGATTGGGAAGAATGGGAGAAGGAACTTTTGGAAGGGGCTTTATAAAAGCCCTTTTCCAAAGATTAGGGTACTGACCTTAATCAAGGAAAAAATTTATAACATGGGAAATTGCCGGAAGATGTTGCTCTAGTATAAATACTACCATTTGTCTTCTAATCTCATCAAACCCACCGCCTTGGACTGAATTGCTAAAATAGACTTCTTGACTTCATCCTGAGAAACAGGAGAGAAATTAAAGGTAGGTATGTGGGTTGCGTAGGTAAAATAAAAAGTTACTCACTGTTACGGCCTACGGTTGCTCCCTTAAAGGATCCAATCCCCCGGGGCCCATCAGCAGAAGACTTCCCGAGCAAACGTAGGTCGGGCCTCCTAAGGCCACGTGGAAGTTCTCTAATTACACTAAAGATATGGGGGAGCGTTATACTACGGCCAGTCGACCGGAAGGAATCTGGCGGAGTTCACTTACCTCTATCCAAGGCGACTGGTCCCTCCGGAGTCGGTCAGGTCGC